CCTGTCTCTTATGGACCTAGAACCTACATCTTTGTAAGTAAGCTTCCTTAAGTATCATAATTTTTAATCTTTTATTCTTATATATAAGGGGGAACACAAAAACTTTCAGTAGAACACAGTTTTTATTTTGTAAACACTAATGTATTAAACTTGCTATACATTAAAGCAAATAGTATATATTTTTATTTGAATTGTATATATGAATTTATATGTTATAACTAGTTGATTTTTTCCATTATGTTCAAGGCATTTCCACTGGACAAGGTCGATTGGTTACCTCAGTGTTACAGTCAGTATAGTCCGAGGAACCATTTCTCCCCAAGCCTGTGTTATACTTTATTGTGAGAATCCTGCATTTTTGTGATTCTTAAAACTGTTGGTGAGATGGGATGAGTGCACTTGTCTCCTTTGGGAATAAAGATTTTCTGTGCCTTACAAAAAATTCAGCAAAAACAAAATAAAATAAGGGAAACTGTGTGTTGATGATAGGCTTGAACATCAGTAAGTATAAGGCCATGGGAAAATAGCCCATGTTTTTGCAGTGTGAGAATGATATCAGGTACAGGGTATAACTGGCTATGTTTATTAAGACTGAGACTGAGACTTTGTAGAAGTGATAACTTGGATTGAGAAATGAAACTCTAAAGGGCATTCATATAATTGATCTTTAAGTTAAACTTCCACAATTAATCAAGGTCTATTTAATTCTAGGTTCTTTTCCACACACCCTTCATTACTGGGTCTTTGTTGCATCCTGTCCCTGTACCCCAGTCCCAGAATAGAACCTGGCAGAAATATGTTTAGTCATTGAGAAAGGAGGCTAAGGATCTAGGTGGGAGATGGGGGCAGTACCTATGCCCTGAACTGCCAGCCACAGGTGGAGAAAAGTGTGGTAAGGGGCTACACCGAGATGCACTCAGCAAAGGATTACACACTGGCCACACTTAAGGGTAGACAGATTTGGAACTCATTCAGAAAGCTGAGGCTCTGACTCCAGTAGCTCCTCTGGGGAACATAGCTCCATTCCAAAGACCACAGGAACTGGCTTATGGTAAGTCCTTGGGCTCAGCAAAGGTCTGGACTAAAGATAATTCATCAAAGTGTTCCAAATTTCTATCTTCTATTTAAAAGTTCAAACCTATGCTCCTGTAATGGTCCTGCCTCTCTCATTCCATACAAAGTAATAAACGCATTTTCATGAATTTTTCTTTTCCTTGGTGTCTTTTCCCAAAAGGACCAGGAGCTCCAGTATGTTCTTATGTGGGTAAAGAAATTCCCAAGTGCCTGCCTACAGTGGCTCTCGGGGAGCCAACCACGTGTCCTGGTCTATGACCCTGACTATCTGAAGGTGATTCTTGGAAGATCAGGTGAGACTCCAACCCCATCGCAATGGCAGAAGACCTGCCTTCTGAGGCTCATGTCCTGGGTTTGTGAAATTCCAGAAAAAAAGTGGCACTTGAGCCATCAGTGTCTGAACAGTATCTACCATTCTGTCTGACCACAACCCAGCATGTGGTCAGCAGTACTTACATATTCCTAGACACTTAAAACAGCTGCATGAAGTTGAATATCTTTTTCTCTTTCAAAACAAATTGGGCTGATGTGTTTTACAAATTTTCTTGTATCTGAAGAACAAATTTTACGTCCACAGAGATTTGGACTGGAATCTCTAATTGTTTACTCTCTTAGGTCATAGGATTACTAAATCACAACTCACTGTGGGAAAACCATGAGGCTCTTTCTTATTCTTTGGCGTTCTGACGTGGCCCAAGTTTCTTACTGTCTATTATAGCGACAGAGATCGTCAGTTGTTGGCACAGTGAAATCTGCCTCTCTGAGCCCTGCTAACTGTCAATACTGAGACAGAAATGAATGGGAGGCACTGGGAGGGATATTGAACAAGACGCCAACTGAAATCCATCAAGAATTTGTACTATGGATGATGAGACAGCTCAGCTGGTAAGGGTACTTGCTGCCCAAACCTGGTGAGCTGAGTTTGATCCCTGGAACCCACATTAAAGTGGAAAAGGTGAACCAACTCCACAGTTACTCTTTGAACTCCACACAAATGCTGGTAGGTCTGTGCCCCCTACTAATAATAACTAAAAGGAAGTTTAGAAATAAAAAGTAATAAAGAAGTGACAAAGCTTGCAGTTTGAACAGTATCTTTCTTATTTGTTCCTTAGTCACTCTGAAGGTCTTTTTTCCTTTCAGACCCAAAGGCTTCTGGAATTTATCGTTTCATTGCTCCCTGGATTGGTACGTATTTTTAAATTAAGAACATTTAGTCTCTTTGTTTCACTGATAGTAATGGGTGACAGGTTACCAGTGTCATGATTTATCACTATATTAAGCCTCATTTCTCTTTTAGTCTGACCCTCTGTCCTTCCTAATGCTGGCATGAGTCCTCTTGAAGTTCAGCTTCTTCCATGCAGATACTTATGTTTCTCTTGACCTGCTCGCAACACATTTTCAACATTGATCTCAAAGCTGTCACACATATATCAGTCAAACTGGAAGATTCATTTTCCTGAAATGCATCATTCCTTTGTCCAAGGAATTCTATCATCACTGGGAATTGTCCTTCCCTAGTCTATTCCATTGAATAGCCTACCATATTATCACAGGGGTACCTATGATTCCACCTCTACTGAACACAGTCACATACTAGTCTCTGGTGCAGGCTATGGTTTGCTCCTGTTGAATGGAAAGAAGTGGTACCAGCATCGGCGGATGTTGACACCAGCCTTCCACTATGACATCCTTAAGCCCTATGTCAGAATCATGGCAGACTCCGTTAATGTGATGCTGGTGAGTCTCTGTCTCTTTCTCACTTCATCACATCCACTCACAGCATACTCACAACTCCATTCTCAAACAAATTCTCCCAGCTACAACTTTCACATGGTTATATAGAATAAGAATTGTGCCATTATTGTAACAGTAACTGTCCACAAATGAATAAAGCAGAATACCTACTCAACAGGATGGGGCCACACTATGCAGAGAGCATCATGGTAGATACCATAGCAAGCATTTGTCACAGTGGATAGGAGGAATAGCCAATCCCAGCAGACAGTGGAGGTTATATGTTTCTGACTGGATTGGGCAATGAATGTCAACTTCAAGGTATCACAAAACAAGGACTTCTGCATGGTCTTGAGTCACCCATGTAGTGAAATGGACGCAAAACCACTTCCTCACACCAAAACCTGCCATGCCATCACCTTCCATACTTCCTTAATTTCTGGTCTCACAGTGCTCAGCAAACTTTCGATAGTGAGAAGCATTTAAAGTCTCTGATAACCCTTATGAGGTTGGTCCTTTCAGGCCCATAAACCCTTCATGTGTTTTGTTATCATATTTTATTTATTTATTTTTATTGTTTATTTATTTACTATTTATTTAGTCTTTTTGAGACAGGGTCTCTCTATAGCCCCAGCTGGTCTGGAACGCTCTGTGTAGACCAGATTGGCCTTGAACTCATAAAGTGCCTCCCAAGTGCTGGGACTAAAAGTGCTACCACGCCCAGACTCTCATATTTTATGCACATTGGTTTTTCATGTCTGATTCACTCTCGGACAACTGAAGGGGTCATATTCGTCAACTGAAAGGTCACACTTATTCCCAAAAACAAACACAAACAAAAAAACCATCATTGAACATCATGAGAAAATATTTTCAGTATTATCAAAAACTTTGCTAGAAGCAGACATCGAATTATAAGGTATTGCTTCATGTTTTTAATTTGATGAAGGCATTGATTTTAAATATGAGGAACTCTGGACAGGTTATCTGTAAACACAGAGAAAAATCTTAGTCTATTTAGTATAGATCTTCTGGAGAAAATTAGGTAATTTACCCTTTCTAACCACAGGACAAATGGGAGCAACTTGATGGCCAGGACTCCTCTCTAGAGATCTTTCAACATATCTCCTTGATGACCCTGGACACCATCATGAAGTGTGCCTTCAGCCACCAGGGCAGTGTCCAGTTGGACAAGTGAGTGACGACTCTTCACATGTAGATTCTTTGGTTTTATAAGCTGATAGGTGCTCAGTAGAAGGCAAGTGGGGTGACTAGGATGGCTACCTTCACAAAAAGCAAGATTCTGACCCAACTGCAGGCCAAACTCTTCTAGACCAGACCTGAATCAGTCCCAACAATATACTGTGGATTCACAGCAGTCTTGCCAGTTGTCCATCTTCTAAATGCCTAGGGGTCAAAATGGCTTTAAAATAGAAATACTGTGTGGTTCAGTATGGTGGGAGCATGCCTATGGAGAATTTACCTGTGGTTCAGATATCCCCATCTCCAGTATGTTGTACTTCTTGTCCTCAGAAATTCTAGGTCCTATACCAAGGCTACCGAGGATCTGAACAACTTGACTTTTTACCGAATGAGGAATGCCTTTTACCAGAGTAACACTATCTACAACCTGTCTCCTGATGGCCGCTTGTTGCACCATGCCTGCCAGCTTGCCCATGAGCACACAGGTTTTGTCCTACTCCCTTCCTGTCTCTTCCTTTATTAGACTCCCCCTGAAAATGTAATTATGTCTCTCAGACATACTGAGTCTACCATGAGTCTCTGTAGGATCCAGGATACATTCATGTAGGGCACTGCTTTAATACATGTTTTGGGAACTCAGCTATTAACATGTGTGGTGCATTACAAGGATTTCCAGTGTCATTACATTGGTGATATTGCATGAGACCTGTTTAACAGTACTCAACATGGCTCGGTGGGCTATGATCCCGAATGAGGGCCTGATATACATCAGATGATCTAGATTCCTGATCCTGATCCTGATTGAAATACCCACCTCAACATGCCTCCTAGGCTCTATAGAACACACAGATTGGAAATTGGGGGTCCTGAGAATTGCAATAGTATTTGGTTCTGCCTGATAAATGCTGTCCTGGGACAGAGAGAGTGATCAAGCAGAGGAAGGCTCAGCTGCAGGAGGAGGGAGAGCTGGAGAAGATCAAGAAGAAGAGGCACTTGGATTTCTTGGACATCCTCTTGTTTGCCAGAGTAAGTGGGGGTACAGGACTGTCAGTTGTCTCAGAAGCACAGGATGAGGGACAGACTCTTTTCTCTCACCTGTGGCTTTCTCTAGCTGGAAAATGGGAGCAGTTTGTCTGATGAGGATCTGCGTGCTGAGGTGGACACATTCATGTTCGAGGGCCATGACACCACAGCCAGTGGTATCTCCTGGATCTTCTATGCTTTGGCCACACACTCTGAGCACCAGCAGAAATGTAGGGAGGAGGTCCAGAGCCTCCTGGGTGATGGAGCCTCTATCACTTGGTAAGTAAGAGCTCAAGAGGAAGAAGATCCCTGCTTTCTAGTAGGAGGGACCCTCTAGTTTTCCCAGTTCTGTGTGACTTTCAGATGAACTTTATTTCAGGGACCACCTGAACCATATGCCCTATACCACCATGTGCATCAAGGAGGCCTTGAGGCTGTATCCACCAGTACCATCTGTGAGCAGAGAGCTCAACACACCTGTCACCTTCCCTGATGGTCGCTCCTTACCCAAAGGTATAAGCCTCCTAGATCCACTCGCTTAAGTACTTACATGTGCCTCTGTTGTTCTCAACTTCACTTAGTCTACCATTCCTTCTCAGTAAACTGGATCCTTATTTTGAAATCAAGATGACATTATAAAACCCTGGGAACTGGGTTTTTTTTTTCCCAACAAATTCTTTAGAAAGAAATGCCACCCCTTAGTAAAATGGCATCCTTAGTCCTGAATTTTTCCTTATTAAGACATTCAGGGTTGGAAAACTCTGGATTCAGCCCAGCCCTGTGGAGGTGTGATTTTGTTCATGAGTAAAGGCAAATGAGAGTGATAAGGGAATCCTATGCATGAAACCCAGCGTGTCAGGAAACACTGAGTTGGAGATAGAAAAGCAAATGATAAGTCTGAGCTCCTACATCACATATTTGGTAACCTACCATTGGGCATATCTAAGGACTGCCACATCCAACCTATGTGAACATAAGAAAGATGGTCAGTCTTTCCTGAAGAATACAGGACTTATGACTATTATGTGTCCTAATGCATATTCTACAATTGCCAGTGGAAGACATTTGTTGAATGTGAGTTGTCACTTTATTACTATAAGCATGATACCTCCAATACTTAACTGCTGTGTGTCATTGCTAGGCTCATACTTTTCTAATAGGTGCTTTGCTAAGCTTCTCATACCTAAAAGGATCATTATTTCAAAATGATGATTGTTGATATGCAAGCCATTTGCACATGCATGTCCCCCTACTGGCTAAAGTTCTAGAGTCCTACTGCTTTGGCTTAATTACTCTTCACTTTATGTCTTCTCTGCCCCCACAGGTATCATGGTCACTGTCTCCATTTATGGTCTTCACCATAATCCACGGTTTTGGCCTAACCCCCAGGTATGAGGGCCTTGGGAAGAGACGAGGGCCTCCTACTTGCAGCTCTAAGAATTGGAAGCAGAGGCTTGACTCCCATCTGTTCTGACACTCATTCTCATTCCCACTCCCCTCTCTCTCCCTCCCTCTAGGAGTTTGACCCTTGTCGATTTGCACTAGATTCTGACAGGCATAGCCATGCCTTCCTGCCCTTCTCAGGAGGAGCGAGGTGATGGGAATGGGTTGAGGAAAAGAGGAGTCTTTGGCATTTATTAATATTTGAAATTTCTGTTCCCTTAGATCTCTATGTGACCGACTTATAAGTATTTGTGGATAGAAAAGTGTCATGCATATATGTTTATGCCCAAAAGAAAGATGGCCAAACCTGGTGGCTCGTGCCTTTAATCTCAGCACTTGGGAGGCAGGGACAAGCAAATCTGTGTGAGATTGAGGTCAGCCTGGTCTACACAACAAATTTCAAGCCAGCTGGGGGCCACAGGGAGATCCCATCTCAAAAACCAAAGCAAAAACAAGACAAAACAAAACAAAAACCAACCCACCCCCAAACCCCAGAGAAACAAAAAAGAAAGATGGTATTTCAGTAGACACAACAGATTTTAACCTACTTCCTGTGGCCACTAGAAAATTAGTTTCAAATATTAGTATGTTCTGATATTTTCACAATTTTGTACTTCACATTTCAGAATTGTATTTCCAATATAAACTAAATTTCAAGCATTTTTCCATTTTGTAGGAATCTTAAATGGTGGATTTCTCATTCCCCAAATTCTCTTTATTGCCCAGTAGGTTTTCTTATTGACTCACAGTTGAATGCTGCTATAAAGTTTTGAAATATATGTGTCTACCAATGTACATAATATGTGTGTTTAGTACTGTCATGTGAAATATTTGAAAGGCCTTGCCTTGCTACCTCTTCTGTTAAAGTTGTGTGTATAAGAGTTCACAGCCCATTATAGATTTGACACCACTGAATGCCATTTCACACATTTCTGGCTTTTAGCCTCACAAATATTTCACTGCATATAAAATATTTCACAACCTATATTTGATCCCCAGTTTTCCAAATTAAATATGAGGGAAGGATTTCAGTAAACAGGCTTGGTCAATCTGGTTAAGCCTGAATGAAAACATTAAACTGAGGAGAACCCTTTGTTTAGTGATGATGTATAGCATAACTGGTATGTATAATGGTGACCTGCTAAGTTAGACAAGCTGCAAAAGGGCTGCTTTGAAAATCCACAAGCTTATAGGTATCATCCTGTAGGCTAATTCACAAAATTAGCCTGACAAAACTAATTGACAGAACTTCATAAGTAATTGGTACAAAGAATTTCTTCTGATTCAGTAACTATGGATTCTACAATGCTACATCAACTCTCACAGAACAGGATAGATGTATAACATTTCTCTAAAAAGAATATTTTTAGGATAAAGTTTGTCCATGGTTAAGAATTTAATCTTAACCAACTATAAACATAATACAGTCACTGGAGGTCAGGACATTTTCCTAGCTCTCTCTCTCTCTCTCTCTCTCTCTCTCTCTCTCTCTCTCATATATATGTGTGTATGTGTGTATCCTCCGTGCATTTTATTTTTTAAAAATTCAATGAAGTTAGAAGAAATTCAAAAATATTTAAAAACTGTATTTCTCGGCCATGTTCTTTCCTGAGATAGGAACACAGAGGTCTAAGATTCTGACCCCTGCTTAGCAACAAGCCAAAAGAGTATACAGAAATAGACATCTATATTTGAGACAGACATCATTCTCTTTCCTTAGTTCACTTACGCATCACTCATTGACAGTTTGTGAAAAGTTCCACACTCCTAACTGTTCCATAACCTGAGCTGTGATAGATGCCTAAATAAAAAACCTGAGCTATGATGGATGTCTGAATAAATTACCAGTGGTACCTTGAAGTCTAGGAAGAGAGTGGCAGGCATAGAGGAGAGCTGGCCAGCTGGTTCTTGGTTTATCCCTTTGATTGTGGTTGTCTGTATGGGTGGGTGTGGAGGGAATTCCCAAAAACCTCAGCAGCATGAGCTGAGATAGGAAGTCAGGGGACAGAGGTGAGGACTCAATAGTCTTTTCTTTTCTAAAAAATCTTTTTGAGACAGTGTCTCCCTGTAGCCCCAGTTGGCTTAGAACTCACTATGTAGACCAGGCTGGCTTTGAATTCACAGAGATTCACCTCTCTCTATGCCCTGAGTGCTGGGATTAAAGGCGGGTGCCACCACGTCCTGGTGAATAGTTTTACACTGAGTATAGCTTTGACTGAAACATCTGGACTGCCTCTTCAGTGGAGCGCATAGGAGAATCAGTAAGGATAGAATGGTTGTAGAGAAGAGATAGGCCTAAGAAAGCAAATTAAAGATAGAGAGGAGGAAGCATTTCTGGAGTCAGTTTAGATGACTGCAGATGCTGGTACTCTGAGGAAGTGGGGGACTTGGAGTCTGATCATTGAGGGGGAGGAAGATGAAGGAGCAGGTTGAGGGTCCCCAGTCTCATACATTTTCAGGAGTTTCTCCTGTTTAGATCCCTTCTTAGTATTATTTATCCTTTTTAACAGTAGATGAGAATTCCCAGGTATGTGACCCACCTCTCCTGAAATTGCCCTGGTCAGTGGTATCCAAGTGGAGATCCAGAAAATTAGTGTAGGGAATTAATTAACCAGCTCATGTGGTTGGACTCTATGACCCAGACTGTTAACTGTTCAAATGACATTCCATGCATCTGAGAGTAGGAGTAGGGTCAGAACTAGCCCTAGAAGAGTTAGAGACTTTGTCAAAGATCAAGAGCCTATGACCCAAGAGAAGAGACTGGGGTAGGTGCTTGCCCTAGAAGGAAAGTGGATGGATTGAGACCATAAAAGAGGATCTTAATGCTGTGCTTTGAACTGGTGTTCAAAGGCCAGTGCCTGATGAGCTCAGAACAGGGCTTGAGGCCACATCTCACTTCACCATCTCTGCTTGGCCCAGGAACTGTATCGGAAAACAGTTTGCCATGAATGAGCTGAAGGTGGCTGTGGCTCTGACCCTGCTCCGCTTTGAGCTGCTGCCAGATCCCACCAGGATCCCAGTCCCTATGGCACGACTTGTGTTGAAGTCCAAGAATGGGATCCACCTGCATCTCAAGAAGATCCAGTAAATTCTGGTGGAGGAAAGTACACCTTCGGTGGTCTGCTGCCTGCCATCCTTTCTGCTTGTCACCTGCTTTTGTCCCTAACTCATCTGTCCACCTCTTTCCCCTGCCCACCTGCCCTTCTCACCTGCTTACTCTTGTGTCTCCTCTCCTGTCCTCCTTCCCTTCCCTTTTTAACCCTCCTCCAAACTCTCTACTTCCTGTTTACTAGCTACATTTATTGTGGGATAAAGGTTAAGCTTCTTATAAAGCTTGTCTATTTATATTTGAATTTAAATAAATTTTTGAGAGATGTCTCTTGTGATTTGAATAAGCATGAGAAATAGTCTTTGTTATCTTATGGGTCCCAAGGAGAATTCCTGCTGATAATTGTCACCTAAAAGTGCACTTTGAACTAATACAACTTTTTATGTGTCATTTTGAAGACTGTCTATGAAAATTGGCTTGATGGAGGATGAAAATTTGTGGGATTGTGTGGGATGTTCTGTATGATATACACACAAAAAAAATCAACAAATAAAAAAAGACATCTCTCAAAAAGGAAGCATAAAAATTTACTTCATGTTAATTAGTAGAGATGATAAACATTACTATTGAAATCTACCTGATGACTTTATATCCATACTCAGGTGCCAAGGATCAGAGTGTAACCAAATGTGATTAGTAATAATCAGATACATAGAGATTAGAGATACATATGGAAACACCTAAGTGTTAGTAGCATTAAAAATGTAGGACACAGCATATTTTAAAATGAAATGGAGATCTTCTTTTAAAGGGAAAAAAACATACTTAGTGTCCCAGACTTCTCTCAGTGCAAGTTCATCCACTGGGCCCCGGTCAGCCTATATAGAGTAATTCAATATCATATAACCATATTAATTCAACTGTGAACCTTAAAAATTTACAGCCACTTTTGAAAGAGATGTATCCTTGCTCTGGAAATTGATACTGAATATGTTAAAGCTGTAATGAAATGCTTCTTCTAATCATGTGGTTATTAAATTAAAAAATGCAGTATTAATTCTGTAAATATGAGCTGAAAAATAACTTGCTGCCAGTATCCAAGAAACATAGCAAAAATAATTTATGACAAAGTTTTAAAATCAAAGCAGATAATTCTAATTTGATATATCTATATTACCTTATAAACTTAGGTACTCAACTTCTTAAAATGTATTAAAATGTTATATTTGAGCCAATTAAACATGTTTCATAAAATTTTAAAATGTTTTGAGTACAAGATTTAGTGATATCTGTTCTTCTAAAGCAATAAGCATCTAAAATATTTTATATACATAAAATACATTAAAACATAGTTTGTTTATTTAAAATGGCATTCACTGAGTCATAAAAGTTTTATTAAGTTAAAAAAATTGTATTGGCCACTGTGAACAAAAATTCCTGGACAGAGCAACACCTTCCACCGAAGTTTTTGCAAAGCTAATTAACTAATTAGAAGTTCAATGGTTGTGGAGAGATTGGAATGTTGCATATCCAGAGCCCACTTACAGTTTATCATGGGCTATTTTTAGCCCCTTAGTAGTCATTCCTTGCCCACTTCTATGTCTAATTTAACAAGGTTGTGATTAACAGGTGAAATCTTTTGGAATGTATTAACAGACTACTAGCTACAACCATCAAAAGCCCAAGAATGTCATCAGACAGCGTTTGAAACTCATAGTAGAGACTTCTCTGTTATGCTCTAACTCACCTACCTGATGTTTCCACCAATGTATTTGAAAACTTCCTTGATTTATTCTGTTACCATAAAAACTACATTAAATTGTTATCATGTTGGAGCACAGAATTGGGGGTAACTTGAATCTGTGTTACCAGGCCTTAGTCATTCATATAATCTTTTATTCCTTTGAGATGAAAGTTGTGTTTTTGAATCAAAAGATACATTTTGATACAAACTTTTTCTAAAACATATTCTAGAATGAAACTAAATATTATTCATTTTTGAGTTATTGGGGGTAGCAAAATGAGAAGATATGAAAATGATTTATACAAAAATATATTGTTTTAATTTAAAAACTAATGTATAAAAACCCAATATAATTATCTTGTGACATTTTCTTGATATTTGACAGTTTCCAATTATAACTTTACTGATGTATAACTATAAAAATAAAATCAATATACCTCTAAGTAATGCACCCAAGAAACAAAGAGAATAAGTAAACAATTCCAGAACAGTTAAAAAAAAAGTTCAAGAAAACAACACAACAATAAACTATCAGGAATTAACACCTATTGTTCAAGAATAATTATCAATATTGTCTAAATTCCCCCCAAAGGAGACATAGACTAATATACTGGACGATAAAACAGGATCCCTCTTTCTGCTGCCTCCAAGGAACATAACTTACCATCAACGAAAGACACCACTCAAGGGGAAAAAGATGGGAAAACGTAATCTAAGCAAATGAAAGTAAGAAAGAGGCAGGCCTAGATATGCTACTATCTGACAAAACAAGCTTCAAACCAAAACCAGTGAGAAGAGATAAGGAAGGATGCTTCATGTTTATTAAGGGAAAAATCTACCAAATGGTTATTACAATTCTAAACATTTATGCACCAAGCACAGAGATATACAATTTCATAAAATAAACACTATTAGATTAAAATCACAGACTGACCCCAACACAGTGATAGTAGGTGACTTCAACATTCCAGTATCAAAAATAGGTCATTCAGAGGAAAAACTAAACACCGAAACTCTGAAGTTAATGACATCGTAAATCAAGTGAATCTAACACACATCTGTAGAAATTTCACCCAAGCACCAAAGAATACACTTTCTTCTTTGGAATTTTGGAACATTCTTCCAGACTGACCATGTATCAAGACACAAAGAAAGACTCAAGAAATGGAAAAAAAAATGAAATAACATCCTGTATTCTCTCTGAAAACAAAGGATATCAACAGCAATGGAAACTATAAAAAGTACCTAAACTCATGGAAACAAAACAACACACTACTAAATGAAAACTGGGTCAAGGATGAACTCAAGAAGAAAAATGTAAAATTCTTAGAATTGAATGAAAATGAAAACACAATATACTGAAATTTATGGGATGCAATGAGGGCAGTCCCAAGAGGAAAGTTTATAGCACTAAGTGCCTAAAAACAATTCGAAAGACATCTCAAATTAGTAACCTAATAATGCACTTGAAGGCCCTGAAAAAACAAGATTAAAAAAAAATACCCAAGAAGAGTATACAGGAAGACATAATCAAAATCAGGGCTAAAAAAATGAAATAGAAATTTTAAAAAATCAAAGAAAAAGCAATTAAATGATGTCCTAGTTTGTTTCTTCATTGCCATAACAAAATACTCTGACCAATACCAACCTGGGGAGGAAAGGGTTTATTTGGTTTACATCTCCTGGGTCACAGTTCATCTGGGAGCCCAAGGTAGGAACTCTGGGCAGGAACCTGGAGGCAGGAGCTGGAGCACAGGCCATGGAGGAAAGCTGCTTACTGGCTGGTTCCCCTGGACCCTGCTCAGCCTGCTTTCTTATGCAACACAGGCCGACCTGCTCAGGGGTGGCACCACCCACAGTGGGCTGAATCCTCCCACTCAGTAATCAAGAAGATGCCCCATGGATATGGCCAAAGGTCAGTCCAATGAAGGAAATTCCCCAATTGAGGCTCCCCCACAAAGGTGTGTCAAATTGACACTAAAGCTATCCAGCACAAATGATGAATTGGTTCTTTGAAAAGATTAACAAGATTGACAAACCTTTATGCAAATTAGCCAAGAGAATGAGAGAGAGGATCCAAATGAATAAAATCAGAGACATTAAAAGGGAAACATGAATCTTTGGTGGGGGATGGCTAGGAAACCTAGAGGGAAAAGTGGTGCCCTAGAAACCCTATGAGAGATGCACATGAGAATGCATTTGTATACCTGGGAGCTGATTGGCAGAGAAGAGACCTCCCTCAGAGTTACAAGCATGCCATATAGCATTCATCAAAGAAATCTTTTTGCAAAGGATGGAGGCTACTGCAGAGTTGCACATCTGGTCAGGTACAGAGAACATATGCCTGGGAGATGCTCAGTACTGGTGACACATCTACCATTCAATCTCTACAGCTAAGGCTCATGGAATATAGCAGAATAAGGGATAGAGAGGGGGCTAATGCACCCCCAACTCTCACCAGTGAGGTCTCAATGTACATCAGAGAGTGTTATATACATAGGACCTCAACTGACCAAGTTTTGGAGAATAAGAGACTGTAGAGTGTAGGACGGGACTCCTATAAGGAACCTCATCCACCCATGGCTCAGGGACCACTGAGGAAGAGGAGGCAGAAAGATTGTAAGAGCCAGGGATGGTTCATGAACACAGGGAAGGGGAGGCCTCCAGTTCACTGGAGGCTTGCTCATGTGAGCCTGTGGCAAAGGTGGCATTGAGCATAGGACCCATGTCAGCTCAATTAAACAAGGGCCCAAAGGGGAGGTGAGAAATAAGTGGTGGGCCAGCACTAGATTGAGAACTATTTGAGACTGATTGCTGCTGGGTGAGGGAGAGTATGACTTACCTATGACCACTGGATGGGCTGATTAGACTCCAGTGGACACATTTACACTGAAGGGCATTTTGGGTACAGACACCTGAATGACTAGGACCCAGCATGTATGCCAGACTGCAAAGGGTTCAGGGGGGGATCAAGGGAGACATGGATGGGGGAGGGGGTCTGGATTTGAGTGGGAAGTGTATGAAATTTTAAAAGCTCAATAAAAGGGGAAACATTAGATGGTGATAAAATAATAATAAAAAAGGGAAACAAAGATGGTGAGGAAATTATGCAGAGAATCATATAGACATTTAAAAAATTTACATTCCATTAAACAGTCTAAAAAATGGATGAATTTCTAGGTACAAATGACCTACAAAAATTAAGTCAATATGAAATAAATAGTTGAAATAGACCCATAAAAAATGAGATAGAGATAGTAATTAGAAATCTCCCAACCATAAAAAGTCCAGGACAAGATGGCTACATCCCAGAACTCTACCAGAACTTTGAAGTAAAACTAAAATCATCACTCCTCAAATTATTCTGTAAAATGGGTAAGGAAGGGGCACTTCTAAATTCTTTTTTATAATGTCAGTGTTATGCTCATACCTAAACCAGACAAAGACCTAAGAAAAGAAAATTATAGGCTAACATGTCTGGTGAATATAGATGTAAAAATTCTCAACAAAATATTTGCAACCAACTTGAAGGCTACATTAAAAAGGTCAAGTGGCTTCATTCCAGTGTGAAAATCTGTAAATGTAATCCACCGCATGAATAGACTTCAGGACAGAGATCACATGATGAGCTATCTCATTAAATGCAAAGGAGGTCTTTGACAAAATCCAACATCCCTTCATGATAAAGTCATGGAGAATGTAGGGATACAGGGGACATATCTCAATGTAATAAAGGCAACATACAACAAATCCACAATCAACATCATATTAAATGGAGAAAAACTCAAAGCATTTCCACTAAGATCAGGAACAAGACAAAGATGTCAACTCTCTTCATTTCTGCCCAATATAGTGCTTGAAACCTTAGCTAGAGCAAAAAGACAAGTGAAAGAGCAAAGAAGGGAGGAGAGAAAGAAGTCTGATTATCCTTATTTGCAGATTATATGACTGCATACATAAAAATCCTAAAGACTCTATCAGAAAATACTTAGAGTTGATAAATAGATTCAGAAAAGTGTCATATTATAAAACAATACAAAAAGTCATTAGCCTTCCTATACACTAAGAACACATACATGGCCAAGAAATCAAGGAAACGACCCACTCATGATAACCTCAAAAAATCTTGGAATAAATCTAACCAAGGAGGTGAAAGAGTTATATAATAAAAACGTTAAGACATTGTAGAAATAAATTGAAGAAGCTCCCAGAATATGGAAAGACCTCTCATGCTCATGGATTAATATTGTGAAAATAGCCATCCCACAGCGAGCCACATATTCAATGCAATCCCCATGAAAATCCAATGCAATTCAACACAGAAATTGAAAAAATCATACATTTCATATAAAAACACAGAAGACCCAGGATAGCCAAACACAATTCTGAATAATACAAAAAAATTCTGGAGGTATCACCATCCTAGAAGTCAAGTTATATTACAGCGGTATAACAGTAAAAACAACATAGTACTGACATTAAAATAGACACATTGATCAATGGACTAGAATTGGGGATCCACATATAAGTTCATGTACCTGTGTCCACCTTATTTAAACAAAAAAGCTAAGAATACACATTGGAGAAAAAAACCAGTATCTTCAACAAATGATATTGGTCAAACTAGATAGCTACATGTAGAATGGAACTAGACCCTATCTCTCAGCATGCTGAAACCTCAACTCCACACTGGAATTTATAGGCACAAGAAAGAACTTTCTGAAGGGGATCCCAATAATGTATGCATTAATACCAACAATTGACAAATGGGACCACACAAAACTAAAAACTTCTGTATGTCAAAGGACACCATCATTTGTGTGAAGAGGTAGTCCACATAAGGGGGAAAACCCTTACCAGCTGTATCTCTGACAGAGGGTTAATGTGTAGAAAACACAAAGAACCCAAAAAACTAAACATAATGAAACAAACAACCAATTAAAAATTAGGGCAAGGAACTACACAGAGTTCTCAAAAGAAGAAATGCAAAATGACTGAGAATTTTTAAAAATATTCACTATCTTTAGACATCAAGGAAATGCAAATTAAAACTACATCTGATATTCCATATACCCCAGTCAGAATGGCTAAGGTAAAAAATGACAACAAATGCTATTGTGGATGTGGGAAAAAGGAAACAGCTATTCATTGCTGGTGGGAGTTCATACGCATGCATCCACTATGGAAAACAGTGTGGGCATTCCTCAAAAAAAACCCCAAAACTAGAGCTAGGTGTCTATCAACTGATGAATGACTAATGAAAATTTGGTATATTTTTGAGGTGGAATATTATTCAGTTGTTAAGAAAAATGAAATTATTAATTTCTCAGGTAAAGGGATAGGAGTGGAAGAAGTGCAAACAAATACCCTGAGGGAGGTAAGCCAGACCCTCAAAACACGAATGTCATATATCCTCTGTCATAGTGGATGCTAGCTTTATCTATATGTATATCATCTATATCTATATCTATATCTATATCTATATCTATATCTATATCTATCTATCTGTATCTATGAAAATCTGAAAAGTTCGAGAAACTAGTAAGGCGCCATGGGGTGATTTTTAAATGTAGGGATATTGAACACAATGATATAAAGGGGTAAAGGGTTCTACTGAAATAGGAAGGGTTACATAGGGTGGGCATGGGAAGGCAGTGTAAAGCAGGGAGATGGGAAAGGACAACTGACAGTAAAGACCGTTTGAAAAAGTCATATGGAAACCTACTGTAGAAGCAGCACATGTATTACGTTGTTAAGTGGAATTACCCTGTAATAGCAGGACAATGCCACTACCAAACACTGCGGGATAGCAAACAAAAAGCTCAGTGTCAGGAATGGGCTTTCCTTTTGTAGTTGTTGATTTGGGCAGCAGGGAGCCAGCAATATTGGCTATTAGCATTAGTCATGCTCCAGAATTTAACAGCAAGTGTATTGCTGAAGACAGTACACATGTGGATCATAGAACAAACATGGAGAAATCAAGCTGGTACTGACCTCAAAGTTTCATCTCTATTTGCTAGCTTTCATAGTGTTGTAAGATACTATGTTTGTTACTGGAAGAGAAAGTCAATCACCAACCTTACCCAACTGTGAACTCTTTTAGCTATAATAATGACTGGCCTGGCAAGATATGCCCTGTAGGGAACCAGAATGGCATACTTTAGGATGATACAGATCTGAAACTTTTAAGATCAAGATCCCTGCTGAAGGATGAGGTGCTGAAAACACCAGCTCTCAGATCCCTGCCTTTCAGAGCACTGCAGGGCTAGCAGGAGAAAAGCTGCTGGGTTAAAAGTTTAAGCTCCTTGCTGTGAGGGAAAGCATCTTGGCCAACAGCCCTTAGCCCACCTCCTTGTCCTGAACAAATAACTCAGCTATCACTAGCTAAAAGAATAGGCTAGGTTAAAGGTTTACTCCTGGGCTAAAAGCTAAAAGTTTACTATGCTTCTAGCCCTAAGAAAGAAAACATTCGGGCCAATAAATTACCAGATAGGCACTGGTAACCCTGAGTAATAGTTCAAGCATCCTGCTTTACAACCAACCCCTAGCTGGCACCAGCTAAAAGCTATATGTCCTGTTTCTTGTCTAACTGGACCCTAAAATCTTTGTATGTAACTGCCAAACCCCATGTGACTGCCAGTTCCTTGTAATGTATAAAAACCTTCTGAATTTTTAAATAAACTGCTTTTTACCAGACCCACAAGCCTCAGGGTCTTTGCTCTGCACCTCCAATTCATCATCTCAGAGCAGGGACCCCCCATAGGATGGGCACTGCAATGCCCACAGGTACAACAGCAACACAAATGTCATCAGAGCTACTGACTGCTTTCTGATTAGATTTAAGGCACATTTCAAAGGTGGAGCCCATACCTGGCACTGTTGTTGGAACCAAGAACCTGTGGTCACAGGGTGTAGCGGAGACCTATTGTTATTATTATGCAAAGTGAACATTGTAAAAAACAGATTCCTAAAGACTTATTGTCATGCCCATAGATTAGTGCATCTTTCAGCTGTCACCAGAGAAGTTTTTTCTTGCAGGAGATGGTGACTAACACAGAGAACCATAACTGCTAAAAGTGCAGAGAATAAGAGATTAAGTCCCTTAATGGGGCACCTATTTAACACCTCCTCCCAAGGTTAGGGAATCATTGCAGAAGAGGGAGCAGAAAGATTGTAAGAGCCAGGGGAGGTTGATGACTATAATGAAACAATATTTTCCAAACATAGCATGGCAGGTGCGCATATTCACGCACAGCAATTGTGACAGCATGCACAACCTCAAGTCAGTCAAAATCCCATCATGGAATGGGGAGTTGGTCAAGAATCCTCAGTCCTAGTTGAGGAACTATTGGTAATTGATAGCTTCTGAAAGAGGGAGAGTCAATTTTCTTTAAGGATGTGATGCTGGGTAGGTTAACCAGTTTCCAGGGATAGACTCACACAGGAGAGCATTTGGGGAGCACAAATTATATTTACTAGGCCTTAATTAATGAGGCTATGAAATGAGGGGGGTAAGGCAGTGGTGGTGGATCTGAGAGGAGATGAAAAGAGCATCTGGATATGATACAAATAAATAGAATTCTCAAAGAATCAATAAAAATATTATT